AAACTCAAACCCCTATTGTAACCAGTTTGCCAGTTTCTCTCTTGAAAATGTGCCCTTCTGGTGCTTGATAAAGAATTACTGATCATTTGAGGTCTGTCTCCATTTCTTTATATTTCTCTTTCATTTTGTTTCCAGAGACTATAATTTAAAGACAGCCGTTATTATAAACTTAGCCTTTGGGAAGAGGTGTAATTGGCCAAGTCTTGAATAATTAGCACTTTATTACAACAAACTTAAGGAGGGCCACCTGAATCATTAATGCTATCTATAAAGATTTATAGAGAGTTCACATAAAATCAACAGATTCCCTTCTACTTATTTGTAATTTAAAAACAGAACATGTCATTTAAAGTCATCCCCTTAAGCATTCTACATTTTGAGAGGGAAATAAAGCTTATTAATCATAGATCCATCATCAATGAATATTTTTAAGTGAAAGTCATTGCCTTCTTTGAAGTGAGAACATCAGATAAATCACATGTTAAAATAAGGAAATTAATAACTTCTGAAAGAGCTTCATTTTGTTGTAAAAGAGACACTCATATCAATTTTCCAGTGTTGGGAATTAAAGGAAGAATGTTGGAAAGAAATTTCATTTAGTGGAAATCTGGGCTGATGGAAATACAATTTTTCTGTCAAATTGGATAAAAAAATTTTTTTTGTAGTTTCCCAGCTAATAAATTGCCTAGCTGGGATTGATCACCCAAAATATCACACATTTAAACTATAGTAATAATTTGTGCTTGCTTCTTTGTACATTTGCCTCTATAAGCATAACCTTCAGCCAAAAAGCATAAATCCAGACTAAAATTTGGTAAAATGCTTTTACATAACTACTATATTTTTAAAATTGAAATTTTGCATATATAACTCTTTAACAAGAAATATCCAAGGCTTGAACTCCAAAGCCGAAAACTCAAAATGGGGTGTAATCTACTTTACCTGGTGGTTAAAGACTTTTCTCCTTGTTCTTATTGTAATTCTAATGGAGGGGCCTCTCTTTGGACCATTTGCATGCATCCACTTTTCTATGCAACCACACATTAGCCCTTTTTATCTTAGTGCCTGGCCCATAGCTGGGAAGGAGCAATGTATGTCACTTCCCTCCTCTTACTAGATCATGCTGATGAGGAAACTTTTTAGTGGGGCCTCTTCCTGATTAGTAGAGCTCCCTCAACAGGAAAATGGGGACTTCATGGGAATCTGTGGTCTAGCTGGTGTATTTGGAGGATTTGTTTGCAGATACTAATCATCATTTGGTTAGAACATCTCTGCTCATGAGAATTAAGGAACCAAGCTATCTCACAGCCGATGCCAAAATTAGGATTTTTAAATCATTCTAGCTCTGTTTAAAATAGGAAGACATAATCTTAAGCCTAAAATAGTTTAGTTTTCCTGCAAATAAAAAAAATCTCAAAATAAAAATTACAATTGCAGCAGAAGTGGCTGAACAAAACAGAATCCTTACTCTTTTTTCTGGTGACAATGATTCTTTTCTTGATCAAACTGGGGTCAGGCCCTCTGAGTCTTCTGTTTGACTAGGTCTGGATCTTGTACTCTGTCCTTAGCCTGTGTAATCCAATTTTAGCATGAATTCTGATAAGCCAGATTAGAAAAATTCCCCTACTCTCAGTATTTGATCACTTTGTCTGATAAAATTCCTCATCCTCCACCCCCAATATATAATCAAGCTGCTCTGCCATCACTAGCAATCCTGTCAAATCATTTGAGCCAGATTTTCCTAGATAATTCCTTTTAGAAATCTTCCATCCACTGGACTTTCCATATACACACCTGTTCCCTGACTTAAATCCACACTTGTGCTTGTTGAAGTTGGAGTTGAGTATCTTCTTTCTACCCTACTGTAAAACCTAATTGCAGTATTTCCATAAATAAAGTCTGCCTTACCATCTTTATTTAGAGTGTCATGGAATATTTTTCATTAACACTGGATATACAACTGGAGTGCATTTTCCATTTCTCTTGCATTTGGATTTGGCTGTTTGACTAAGTCTAGAAGCAAAATGTGAGCACGAGTGAGCTGTGCTGGGACCCAGCCTGGCCTATGAATCCTGCAGTAAAAACCCTGTCAGCCTGGATCTCTGAATATCAGCATGAAGCAGCTTTACTCCAACTGGGAAATTTCCAGGCTTAATGTATGAGTACATTTATTGTATGAGGTCTTTGTCTGAATTTTTTGTAAGTGCATCTTGACTTATCTTAAATAATACACAAAACATAAAGTCTTAAAGAGGGATGCTGCTGTAACAAAGCCTAAACTCTGTGGAACAGACTTAGAAGCAAAGTGAAGGTTTCTGAAATCCAAACAGCAGTGCATATTCTAGGATGATAGTGAAACACTTGGTTAAGTCTATTGACCTTGGATAACTAAGTGTTCTGACAGTCTACAGTTCCAGGGGAGATATTTGAGAGGAGTGAGAACATTAGTGTATATTAGCTTCTTCTTGTTGTGTTTAAAAGATATTACAAGGAGAAGGTGAGGTTACAACAGACCTGGGTAGTTTGCAGGCAGAACTTGCAAAATGCCAATGACTTTTGTTCTCAAAAAAAAGACAAGACTAAAGGGACTTGGCAACAGAGATCCATAACTTCTCATCTTTACAAAGAGAGCCAGAGACCCAGTGCTGTGGCAAGGACCAGATCAAGAGTGCTGCCATCCCTCCCAAGTCCTCCTTCCAGTAGTGGCATTAAGGTAGGTTCCATAAATTAAGGGACAAGTATGGAGACAAAGCAGGGATAAGAATTTATTCTAGGCAAGAAACTTGATTTGGATGTTCAAAAACAGAAGGGACTGGAAGCATAAATAAGAAGTTCTAAATTTTAAGGCTATTGTTTTATCAAACTACCAACACACACACACACACATACACACACACACACACAAAAGATCCTATATTAGAAAAGCCTGTCTGTCCAAGTCAATGTTCAATGTACAATATGTACCAGCATGAAGCAGGCTGTGAAAGGCATGAAGTTCCCAGTGAGGACATGCTTCCCAATATTCACTTCATGGCTGTGGGATTTATTGAACAAGGAAGAATAAGTGCCATAGATGGAGCGGGGGCCATAGACAACAATGCCCCCATGGGATAGAGCCAGGACAAAGGATTCATAGCACCTGCCCTTCAGGGTGTAAACCTGAGAATTGCAAGGTGTTCTATGTTTCTTACATATTCTGAATTAGAGTTTTAATGAAAATTATGCAAGTATCCTGCCTGTTTGTTCATCTATCTCTCTCTTTTATATGTAATAATATACAAATATGTACACACATTGATACTGTGTGGGGAAGTGGAAATGAAGGAAGCAGACAACTTGTTTTTTTTATTTTTTCATTTTTTAAAATTTTTGATTCCTAAATGTCCAGGTTCTGATGATGACCACATTACTTACACTATCTGGACATGAGCTGGCTGTTGTAATTGAAAGATATTCTATACTATTTCCTTTGCAGAGGGACCTAAAGGCATTCTACCTGTGGGTGGTAACATGAAAATTAATTTTTAGCAACCAGAAGGACAATTGTGGCAAAAATTTCTAGTCCTTCATCAGAACCATTTCCAGCTCTTCCTGAGAAAATATCCAGTCTGCCTTGTAGTTGAAACCCTGAAATTTCAAACTGTTAGCAAAAGATAGTCATCAGCCTCATCGACCATGTACCAACGAAGTAGCTGCTGCCTTGCCTCTTTGGTAATAGCTCAAAAGCAAGAAAGTCCTTTAGTAACTAAGCCACAGACACCTTACAGCTCTCTAGGTATGTTCAGTTCTCTCTCACCTCTCAAATGAAGACAGCACTTTTCCATAGAATTATTATATGCACCTCTGTAGTGATTCTCATTTAAGGAATATTGTTAAATCTATCTTTGACTTCTTTTGTCTAATCAGTGCCAGTTCTCTTACGGCCAAGGAAGAAGTCATCAGCAATGGCATGGCTTCTGAACAGTAGATGTCAATAAGAAGACAAGGCCAAGAGATGAGAACAGCTCTGTTTGTGAACACAGGATGGAGACTCACCTAGAGTTACCAGAAATAGCTAGAAATGGATTCATATAGTGAAACCTAGTAGTTATGAAGAAAAGGAAGGCTACAGTTTGAATGTGGTATGTTTCCTCTGAACTTCATGTAGTTTAATCTACATTGTGAGGTAATAAGTGGGTGCAAATTTAGTCTGACTATGGTGTTTAGAAGTGGGGCCTTCTAAAGGTGGGGCCTTCTAAAGGTAGGGCCTTCAGGGTAGAGCCCCTTTGATTGAATACTGGTGGCTTTATATGAAGAGAGGGTGAGACCAGGAGACATACACAAAAACATGCTTCCTGTCTTACCACATGTTGCCCTGTGGTACCTTAGGACTCTACCAGAGTCAAGACTGTCAGCAGATGTGGCCCTTCAACCTTGGACCTCCAAAACTGTGAGCCAAAATAAACATCATTTTTTAAAAACAACTTTCCCAATTTGTTGTTATTGTGCTATTAACAAGAGAAAATGAACCAAGACAAGGACCATTATAAAACAATAAAAATTTTATAATAAGCTGCTAGAGTTCAGGAACACTGGATCAAACTGGTCTTATTGGTATGTGCTGCATCAAATCTAACTGCTGTGTGAAGCCCTGACAGGTACTGGGAGGGCACTTAGCTGACATTTATCTATGATAGTGATATAGCCCCTCTCTCTTTCCTTTCCTTTCACAATCACAAGACAGGTGAATCATGCCTTTTTCTGTATTACATGTAGCTAGAGTACAGAGGAGTACACTAACTGTGCTATTTCATAAGAGAATAAAGAGATTTCATGTTCATAATTCAAAATTGCCCCACCTAAAATCGTGTCAGCAGCAGTATCTCAGCCATGAAGGTAACACAGTGTGAGCGCTCCATTCACTCAGTTATTCGGCTCCCATTCTTTCTTGCATATGCATTCACATTTGTAATTGCCATTCACAGTGTGAAAAGAACCATATTAGAAAACAGTCTATAGACTCATTTTTGGTATCATTTATTGATTTAAATATTTTATGTGACTATTTGAACTTTTAAGGTAAATAAATGCGTGACTTAGACAGTTTTGTAATGAATTATGTAAATATAACACACACATACACTATTATTTCCACTTTTTTTTTTCAGAAGAATCCCATGTTACCATCACTCATTTTTCATATACAAATTCACCTTTTTCTGCAGTCTGTACTTTACAAGGACTCTTGTGTCAAAAACATGCTATTTACATTGTGCATGATGTAGAATAATCACAAATAAACAAATGAGTAAAATAGGTGGTAGTGAAAAACAAAGAAGATACAGTGAACGTTTATAATTCTATAAATACTTATGTCCTTTTACATGTACTATTTATTCTGAAAATTCTAGTGAAATGAGGCATATTTGATCATTTTAATTGGAAAAGATTTCTCTAAACTCATACTACTGGATAAAAGAAAATATTTTAAAATATAATATGAAACACCAAATGAAACTTTTTAAAATTAATGGTACAGGTTTAAGAGATGCATTCATTTTTTAAAAAATGAAAAAAAAAACTTGATATTTCAAAATATGTGCAATTTAACCATGCCCTACATATATATTAGTATATTTACCTGGCATTATTTGATGAGATTATAATTTCAGTTTGTGATAACTAGATTGTTAAAAGAAATGATTCACAAGTATGATCTGTTAGCAAAATAGCAGATGTACATTATTATTTACATAGCAAGCCAAGCCAAAAATTTAGACCTGTGAAACTGCAGCAAACCAATTGGCCAAAATGTTAAAACAACTCGAGTATCTGGTTAGATAAAAACTATCCCATGCAGAGGAAGCTAATGAAGGCCAAGCACATTATAACTATGTGTTTTTATTAAGTTGGGAAACCTACTAACTGTTATGTAGTGCCTGAATGTTTGATGGAAATGCATTGGCAGTTTATTTTATGCACTGAAATTAGCAGGAGAAGTTTGATATATAAAGAACTGTTTGGGAAATGAGACCCTTTGGTTTTGTAAAGTGGCTACTCACAGTTGAAGAGTCAGAATTCAGGTAGGTTGAGTTTCAAATGAAGAATGATATACATTATTTCTGAAATGCACTTGATTGGTAAATTTTAAAAGCATAATGAGACAGTTTTGCTACTTGATTACAAATGTTATAATGTAGTTACAGGAGCTTTAAACCTTTCCAAGGCAAACCTCTCTGTTTTTCTAAATAAGGAAACAACTGTTCATTCAACTCTAATTGAAAAAAATCAGAAAGTAATTTATGTCCATGGACCGTTTTTCTATTGAACCTGACATTCCTAGGGATCTAAACCTGTCATGATGATGTGAAATAATTTCTGAACAGTTGGATTAATTTTTGCTCCAGATTCTTGAAGGTGGTGAGTTAGTATCTTGCGGATTTTGCACATTTGAGCCTTAGATATCCATCCAGAGGAAGCAACAAAACAGAGAAATAACTGGGACTTTGGATCACAGTTGTTCAAGTTTCACCTTAATTTCTTCCATTTTCCTCATATATATTTCTTCTATTTTTAGAATTACCATTAAAAATATTTCCCTAAGTAAATAAAAATGGTAAAGGTATTGAAAGTCATATTTCTTCATTTGAATAAGTATTGATATTGACTATAATTTCAAGACAAAGTCTTTATTTTTAAGAAGAATTACAGGAATAAGACAAAAAGCATCTTCACATGCTTTTTATATGGTGGCTGCCTTTCCCCTCACAATTTCTAAATAAATTAGTCAGGATGAAATAAATAAATTGATAAGTGTTATATTCCCTTTCAAAAATTTTTAATTTTCTGAAATTTTCAAACTCCTTCCTTTGACTACTTGATCTGCTAAAGATTTCTGAAGTACATAATTAGGAAATGAGAATCAAAATTCAAAGGGCTTTTGACTTATTGAAGCATATTTTTCCAAAAAGGAAAAAAGGCATAATATTCCTATATGATTTTCAATTAATGAACACAAATGAATTTATGGAGAAAACTTGTTAAGTAGTTTGAATATAATATTAATATAATTACATAAAGTATGAAAAAAATTTAGATTTGGAGAATTAAAGACTTTTAAAATCTTATTCAAGACTTGCTCAAGTTATTATAATGTTGCAGGGGAAGAGGTTTCCTAAAATTACTCTTTTGTCTTCCCCATTATTTCTCTTTTAAATTTGGTCTTTGACTTATTTTCTTTTATAAATAAAATTATTTTCCTTTATAAATAAAATATTTCAATTTCAGACTTAATTGGCTCTGAAAAATAAATGGCTTTGGATTGATTTGTTAATGATTGATCCCTTGATACATCATAAAATGATTAAAGCTATATCTTTTTACTTCTAAGAACGTGGCAATTTGTGAATTCTTATGAACAGGTCAAAATTGTGGACAAAAACATTTATCTGAATATAGGCTAAAATCTCAGACACAGATAACAAATGTGATATATTTTTATACAATAGAGTATTGCTTTTTCAGTAGAGTAGACTTATAGAATCGAAGACAAATGTTTAGAGACTCTCAAAAAGCACCTCAAAACATGGTGCCCTGCCAAGCAGAGTTACAGAGGGTATCCAGGAAGAAAGAAAGGACAACCATTCACTCTAAAGAGCCAGTGAAATCAAGCTGCATCTGGCATTTCCTTCTTATTGGAAACTACTTTTCAGAAAATAGTTGCCCTAAAAATAGAAAAAGTCTTCTATTTCAATCTTTAGCAGTACAATACCCAAGCAAGAACATTTTACTTCTCAAAAATAAGAAAATTTTTCTAAATTAATACATTCATAGGTGCTAAAGACAGGAGATTTCTAAAAAATAGTTGACCCTCATACTACTTGAGAAAGTGTTTAAATTCAGTGGAAAAGAACACACATATAATCTTATAGACCCATGTTTCTCTTAACTGACAAACCTGCTGAAGCTAAGGTCCAGATTCTCTTAGTCACTTCTGTTCCCAAATGCTCTCTGCTAAGTGCTCACCTTTTCTTCCTTACCTTCCTTCCTCATAAGTCCATAAAGGTTTCAGTATGTGAAAGTGGAAAAGGAAGGTCTCAGCCCAAATAGTAAAATACTATTGCCATGTACCTTTTAAGAGCTAGAGAGAAACAGAGAAAGAAAAGAGGGAGAGAAGAAAGGAAAGAAGGGAGGAAGAGAGGGAGGAAATGAAATAAAGAATGCTAAGGATGCTGACAAGATTTAAAGCACTAATTGCACAAAACACAATATGTATTTACTAAGAGTCTTATTCAGAAATAATAACAAACTCTATTAACATTCAAGTTATAACCAACCTTGATATTTGGATTCTAGCATGGTATCTCATTAGCATAAAGCCTATACTAATGCCTAATTAGATTGTACAGCATATATTGATAGAAGGCATAGTACCAAATTTTGCAAGAAAAAAACTTATGCTTCTACAGGCATATATAATGTGAGAAGCTCTTTTGTTCCTTTAAATATTCATTATGATTAGAATACTTATTAAGTTTCTTAATTTTATCAGAATTTTGATATGCTGAGCCTCATTGTGACATTTTGTTAAGTATGAATCTGTGGTTTTTAAAAAAAATTAGAATCAATTATCAATATTTTCAGCTTTATCCTTGGTTACAAGGTTGGACTATGACATACTTTTAATGTCAGCAAAGTTTGATTTTCTCTTCATTTTCTCTAGTGGTTTCTCTTTCTTTCTCTGTTGCATATCCACTGAATTAAACTAAATATTTCATATATTCTCATAAATAGTACACCTCACATAGTCAGATAATCATTTGCATTTTGGTAGGAGAATAAAGAAGAGTTCTAAGGATTAAAAGTAAAAGCAATGAGCACCCATTATTCCAGATCACTGAGTTACATAACAAATGAAAGGGATGGATTTTACAAGTGCCTGGTGACATACTTGAAACAAATTAAAAAGATAGCAATAATAGTTTTGGCTGCCATCCAATAATAATTATCTTTACATAGGAGCAAAAATTTAAAAAAAATTCTAAAATTCCCCCTGAATTATTTTAGGTAATTATAGAGTTCTCTAGTTTATCTAGATTTTTTTATGGCTAGTGTTTATCTTACATCAGAGATCATATGTCTTCTTGACAATACTCTTTAGTCAAAGACTATAAAAGCAATTTATCTGAGAGTCCAAGTCAAGCCTATTGGTTTCTATATGGTAACTTATACCAATAAACTCTAGAGGAAGAGCTTCATGGTGTTGGCAAATTAACCTACTAGTTTATTGCTTCATTTTGGATTTTAGCTTAAAGTGCTAAAAAAAAAAAGATTTTTATAGGCAAATACAGTGATCCAGATCACCCCAGTCTCAGAAGAAAGTCACATTTTTCCCCCTAACCTTGAAAGTTAGCAATGCTAAATAAAAGGGACACAGCAGTAGAACTGCTCCAGGAACTAAGCTTTGATTAGTAGGAAAATGCCTAATTTTTTGCTGGTCAGAAGTAATTTAAGATCTGAATATTATCTGACTTCAAAAGAAATTTTATTCTGGGCAGTTTGAAAATCTTTGCCGTATATAATGTGAACAGGTCTGAATACTATATTATGTACTGTTATCCCTTAACCCTTATACTATTAAAACTTGTTTAATACGTAAAGCAAAAAATGTTGTCAATTTTGCAAACCATGGCTCAATGCTACAATTCTTAAGTTTGTCTTATTTGTAACATCTTTTAGATCTTTTTTTTTCTGTAACAAATGGAAAATGGATGAGAAAAATCAATGAAATATAATTCAAATTTAGGTATTATCACCAGAGGATGGAACCCAAAGGAACCCAGCAATAAAACAAATTTCTTTCTTATTGCTGAAGAACTTGATACATGTAGAAAACTTCCAAAAGTTTCTAAAATTCTGAGTTTGAATGTAAATTGACTCTTTTCAGCACAATGAATCTTTGTCCTGGTTTACCTTTGTCACTGATAATTCTGATTAAAAATTGTTTAGATTTGTTTTCCCCTTTAAAATTTTCCATTTTAAACAAACATTGCACAAATTATCTAGTTACAGCTGAGTGGAAAATTTTTGAATGATAAGAAATTACCTAACAACTTTTAAATTTGGAAGACTGAGGGTACACCTTCATCTCTACCAAGGTTCACCATCAAATGCTGTAGTGTGATTCTCTCCCCAGCTCAAAGCTCTCTGGAGTAGCATCCCTGAAAAGAGGGATTGTCTTGGGGGGTACCTGTCTTGTTCTGTTAGCAGGCAAGCCCAATGTAAGAAGAGCATGAAGAAGAGTATAGAATATTGTTTAATCCCGGCCCCCCCCCCCGCCCATTTTTTTTAATAGGTTTCAGGACACAAAAATATTTTCTGAACTTAGTGATTAAATTTCCCAACTGGGAGAAGATATAATTCCTATAATATCAGGGGAAAAAACATAAAATATAGTCTTCACACTGAATGTTAGTTCAGCCAAACATATTATAGAGGGGGAAATATGTTTTGGTTTAATATCATTTGTACACTGAATACTGTTCTTTTGTGCTGATTCTATCCGGCCTTTCTGTGACATATGGAAAGCCAGTATGAAGCCTTCTTTGTTCCTTACACCCAGATGTTCTGACACTTTCACACACCTTCATCATTGCAACCAAGACTGGTTCTATTTGCCACCTTCAGAGATTTGCTTTTTATAGCTCTGTGAGTTTCTAATCCCAGTTTCAGTAAGATGTACATCTGCAGAGAGGTTGGCAGTACCATTTAAGATGACTGAAAAAGCTGGTGAAGACTTTTTTTTTTGTTTATTTCTTATTTTTTTCTTCTTTTCTTTTTTTAAAAATAAGAGTAACCACTCATCAAATAAATCATTTGGATTTCATTACCACAGGTGTCTATTAAGGAAAATGCCTCTCCTAAGAGTCTCCCTTCTGAAAAAAAAAAAATCAGTCTCATCTAAAGCACCTGCTCAGTCCACTCCACCATCCACCTCTTTCTCCTGAATTTGATGTATGATTGATGGGCAGCAAAATATAAGGAACTGTCTTCAGAAAGTGAGTTGATATGAAGAAGCAATTTTGTACAGTTCTGATTTTATCCCAATTATTACTTTCCTGTCCCACTTACATACAATGACTTTTTATAGACCATAGTAAAAATATGTTTAGCAGAAGCTTTTCTTTATCTCCAAATAGAGACAAGACCAAGAGGAAGACTGAATATAAACTAAAACTTTCATTTTTAAAAAATATGCATTATAAGAATCAAAAACAAGCTACTTCTTAGGCTTGCCATTTGGATTTTGCTTTTCTTTTTGGCTTTCAAAAAATAAACAACAGTACTTAGATCTAACATTAAGAATGACCTGATCAGAAACTAGATGGATTAAGTAGAAGGGCAAATTCAATATAATTTAGTGAATTCAAATTAAGTATTTTTCATTATTTATTAACACAGAAAAGTATACTTATAAAGGATTTAAGTTTTCATTGACATACAAAAGGAAATTGTCAAAATTTTTTCAGTGAATCCACAATCCTCCTTTATTCTGATGGGGCAGTTTTCCAAATTATGGGCAGGAGGATGCTAAGTTAAGCTTTGTCATTGGAAATAGGAAGATAAAGGTAAAAAATGAGCAAACCTATCTACCATTTTAATTCTAATCAAGTTCAGATTCATGATTAGGGATCAGTTTACTGAGCTAGGCAAAGGAACCTTATTTATTTAGATGTTTGGGGATGAATCTCAGTTTATATGCTAATAATCATCTGATGTTTAGACATTGCTCATTGTAATGTAAGTTTACCAGTGCTTTTAACTGCAATCCCAATGCATTGTTCTATATGATGGAATTTAATAATTAAAGGACTAATTATTACTGACAATACTGCATGTCTTTAAATTATATTTTAAAAAAACTAAAAACATAAATTATTCAATTTGAAATTTGTAAGATTTAGTGCTTCCTCAATATTACCACATGACTATTTCAGACATTGGTTAATTATACTACAGATGACTTCAGCCAATAATATCAGAAGTTAAAATACTATTATAATTTAAACATTTGTGTAGCTGTCACAGAGAATAGTCATAGTGAGCTGTTTTTATCTTCAGTCTTTCCAGACTTATCAAATCAACATTTGATTATTTTTTCCCAAGTCCCATTTACATTTTTAAAGACCACTTTCTCAATCAGTTCTTCCAACCTATGCTCTACCCATATTCACTCATCCTTAACTTGCTCCTTATTATTTTACATACAAAGACCCAAAGATTTGGGTAACATTACAAATAACATACAAATCTCTTTGAGAGGAATAGAAATCATATTATGATAGGTATTTTTAAAATTATACACCAGAAATAATCTGATGGGAATATACTGATTGTTTTATAGCATGTTTGCAAATGTATAACTTCTGAGAGAGATTGATCATGTCATTTGCTCAAATATTTTTTTATGAGTCATCATGTGCTGTTCATTTTACTACAGAACAGTGAATATCTGTTAAAAGTCCAAACCAGCTGTATTATTGCTTATATGAAACATGTCTTTATTTTCCCAAAGGTTCTACGAAGTGCACAGGAGTGCAAGTGTCATATGGCATCATCACCATGGCTTAAATTATTGCTTTTAAAATAGTTATAGGTATTGCTAAGAAAGTCACTTTCAGATGAATGTACAATTCAATGTGAAAAGTACATAGTGAGATTAAGTAGTAAGTTAGTATCTTTTTGTAATGAAGTTAAAATATTCAGACATAGACTGTCATTTCAACATTTGCTTTTGTGTCCTAAAGTTCATAGCTTACACCTGGGTGGCGAGGATCAGCAACTGTGATGTACTGCACAGCTCTGGCAATAATTAAGACAATAGCGCCATAGCTAGTGTGTCTGATAGCCCTATAGTGAGCAATATTCATCCCTCATGCTTATCAGTGTTGATGTCTATCTCTAATAAGTTTGAAGACTCATGTGTGGAAACAGACTATAAATTTGAAACCAAAGCTAAAATTAAAATTTGTGAAAGAAATAATGGCATGAAGCCCAGAGTGTTTAACTTTGCAAAGCAATGACAAATGAAATAATATATTGCTATCTCAGTCAATTTGTGTTTACTCCTAGTAATTGAGATTATTTGCATATTCTTCAACGATTCCCAAATCTGGCTATATGTTAGCATTATCTAGAGTGATATTCTACATGCAGATTCCTAGGCCCTACCTGAAACCTACTGAATCCAAATCTCTGAAGGTAAAGTCCAGTAATTTATTTTTCTAAAACTTCCTAGGTAATTCTTGTGAAGCCAGCCAGATACCTTCAAGAAGATTAATTAGACCATTGAACTTTGCCGTTTCTTAGTAAGGATGGAATAGCAATGAGGTTCTTGATTGAAGCTGTGATCTGGTCACAACATATTAGAAATAAAAGACACAAACTTGACGTCTCTACCATCCCAAGTCTTCCCAAATACATTACTCCTTAATCATGTAACATCTACATTCAACAAACATATACACACAAACTAAGAATATTCATTACTTTATAAAGCTCGTTTACAGCATGAGATTAGTTGTGATTATCCCTGTGTTATAAAAATATCAATGACTATATTATTTGTTTTACTTTGTTTTCATGAAGTGTGAAAAGAAACAAAGGGAAAAAATAAAGTTTCAGGACAGTTAATACTTAGGTTTCAATTGTTTGAAACAAGTGTGAGGAAGGAATTTTGCACACTATCTCAATATTCTCTGACAAGATTATGTTAATCTGTATATTCAACATCATCGGATGCTTTACATTCACCACCACAAGGATCCTGAAATTGACCCACAGGTAGGCTCAATGTGCTCATTCAACAATAAATATTTTCCATCACGTTAACACAATTGATGTACATTTTAAATCAGTTGGTTGTGGATTAAGTATATTCATATCAAAAGTTACCCATAAAACCATCATTTGGACTAGATTGTGTTATATTTTAATAAGTCAATCCTTCTTGCATCAGGATTTGGGGGCTATTTCTTAGGATATACCCATAGAATCCTTTGAAATGTCAAAATTTTAGTAGTTGGAGTTCTATAATAATATAAATAACTAAGCTATGATATGAGGCTTGCTTCTTGGAGTTGAGTTTCTATGTTTTGTTAGCTAGAGGCATCTGGTGCTGCCCAAAGCATATTCAGAGTCATGTATAATTAATGACAAAGGAACATTTGGAGAAGCTGCATAAAGTGCTTGGAGTCAGATTGTATCTTAAAGAAAGAGCAGAGGAGAAATTGCAGATGTAAGCAGTGCCCCAGCATATTGACAAAGGGTAGTCATTGTTACTCAGACCTGGCACCAGGTGGCTTCATCTACCTGAATCAAGCATCAGCAACTCTTTCTGTGGTCACATCAGGTTCAAAAGTGGGGAGAGACAATGGTGTTTGGTGCAGTCAGGCTTGAGGGGGTGAGATTGTTTCTCGTGATGGTATGATGTAAGAGAGGCTCAGGGGTAGGCTTGGTCTTGCAAAAAATGCACAAGAAGAAACCTATTTATAGAAGTTTTACTTTCTGCCCTAATCATCCACAACACTTGCTTTCAATAAGTCAGGAACCCAAGGAGCCTGCAACAAATATAGTCAATGATGGTCATAATCCTGAGCTTCCTCCTGATACTTCACAACTTCAGCACACTATTTTGGTTGGCAGCAATACAATTTTGTACAAAACACAATGGTTGTGGTTTTCCAAATTCTCTGTGGGTTTTTTGTCTATCAATTTATTTTTGCTGTATGATGGAACACTCTGGAGGAATTTATAAACTTGAAAGTCTTGCTGCTCTTGTGAATGAGATCTTGTTTGTTATCATCTTATTCTGCTATGTTTTATTCTGGAGAGGCATACACTTTCACACCGTCCTGACACCATTGTCACTGGAGGAAAGGAGGAAGTGTGAGACTATGAGAACTAGCATTTGAAGTGCTGAATCCATACACCCATTCCCCAATCTCAGGCACCAGCACTGTCTCAGAGTCACAGTAGGTCACAGCTCACTGGACTTCACACATAATAAGGTATTAAAAGGGAATCCCCAAATAATTTAAAATATAACAGAAAAGATGAATATAGAGGCAGATTTTATAAAGTTGAGTCATGTTACACAGTAAAAAGACCCAACTGATGTGTTTCTGAGGCCATATTACCCTTTTATTATGGCTGATGTTACCTGATTATTAAGGTTCACAAAGCAGACACTGTGCAGTAAGTTCTGAGTAAATATGTGGGGATTTTGATTTCTTTTAATTATTGATTTATTTGTAAAGATCGGCATTCTCTCCATCAAAATGATCCTAATGCCAGTGTGAAACCTTGATACTGATGGGTAGTTGAAAAGGGCCTTCTCTAAATCAGCTGTTTTTAACAATATTAAAACAGGGAAGCTACGGGTGCCAGGTTATATTTTAATATTCCTTCTGGAATGAGTTAAATGCATTACATGAACTTAAGATCACTTGGCTTCTAAGTGGACATCACTTAAACTCCTTTTAATTTGCCACACTAAAATGCATGATGCTTCTAACAGTTTGTAAATAAATGAGACTACTGTAACAATATTAGACAAAAAAAATGCCATCACTTGTTATAGTCACATTTCCCAAGGTAGGGGATGTGGACTGCATTTTGCAGGATGAATAAAAATAAATGCTTTTTTTTTCACAGCTAGAATGAAGAGACATTTTACATAGTACCTTGCAAATATATGTAGTAACAGTGTAACTGTAATAGTCTACTGTACTGTAATAGGTTGGCAAATGATAACAGATTAGACCTTGCCTCAGACTATCTCCAAAAATATATTTAGATTATAGAGTATGAAAAATGTGGTTTACATTCTGTCTGCAATATATAATAGATCTCTGGCATGTTCTTCAATGTGACATTTGTGACAGTATAAATGGCTACTTCTCTATGTAAAATCATATAAACTAATACAGAGTTTGTGATTCTTCTGACAAATTGAGAGTATATACAAAAATTCTTCTCTTGAGCCCTATCTATCACCAGTTCCCAGATAATGGAGTTGATTTTCAATGAATGCTTTTAAAATATAGATATTTCCTATAGATATTCTTAAGTACAGAGAGAATAACCATGTGTTTAGAATAGTCACTTAGACAAATCTTTACAAAAAGCAGATTGAATGATTCCTGGAAGTCTTTTTCAGCCTTATGGTTACAAAACACATTGTTTATCACCAGGACATTTATTGATGAAATATATCATAATAAGCTCTAAACTACCACACAGAGTAAGCAAAAATGACAGTGAGCTTGGCTCTCTCCCACACACCTGGGCTTTAAGAAGCCCCTGAGCACAGCTCAGGCATTTTCTAATATTGCCATGAGAACTGAGGTGCTTTCAGCCTGTTCTGCCCATGCTGGCTGTAAACTTCTCACTGTCCCCTGTGAAGGAAGTGGGTTAATATCCCAGTCCCTTGAAGCAATCCTTTGTAAATTGTCCTCACGAGAATACCTTGAACCTCTCTCCCAAAGGGTTTAAAAGTGAAAGCTAGGCCCAGGGAAGAATGGGGCAGGCAAGAGTTTAGAGAGATCAATGTCCGTGTCTTGGATTCTCCACATGAAGAGTGCTGCACTAATGTTCTTGTGGACCCCCAGGTGAGAACTGAGTTCAAATTATAAAAGGGGTCACAGTTATAACAAATAGTTGGCACATGTATAAATGTTTTCTTATTGACACAGAGAACTTAAAAACATTAATGAAGTCTCACAGATTACATTGGAAATTAGTTAACATAGACCTTAGCTGAGTTATGTCACAACTGAATCATAATGCAGCCCAAATCCCTGAACAGAGAAGAAAGAATACATTGCATTCAGTAGACGTAATCTACCAATCAATACACCTGTTGGAGTAAGAAAACATTCTCTCCAAGGTTTCAAGGAAGCAAATTCTTCTAGCTCATTCACCTCAATAGAAATTTAGGTTTCATAGCTGATTCAAAATAGGAAAACTCTGGACACACTGTGCTCCTAATATCAGTGTGCGCTATGATAATATTTTCATGCAAAGTTGATTACTGGGAACAAGTCTTCATTTTAGCAGAACATTCGAGGGAAACCTGTTGTAACAATGGTGATCATGTATTCTAAAGATTAGACCTACTTTAATGTTCATGAAGATGATTCCATGAAATTAAAACCACATTGAGCAAACTGCAGAAGAACATTTTTTAAAAATCCCAAAGCCATAAAACACATGTTTTTCTTGCTTTGTGTTATGCAATAAGAAACAACATTCTTGGCAAAATGGCAAAATGTCCTGACACTTCTTTGTCAGTAATGCCAGTGTCCAGGAATGTGCTTCTGAGGGTGGCAGTCAGCTTAGGAAATATCAACTGAGGAAGGGGAGAGAAGTTACTCACATGTCATTTAGTAGGATGCTGTTTATTAGAATGCAGATTAATATTGAAAAAACTACCCATATGCATAAGTGCTAAGTTGAAAAGGGTCCAATGTAACAAAGCATTTGTTTTTAGCTGATATGTGTTAGAAAATGGCAAAAGACCTTAATCTTAGTTACAGATACATCTTCGACTAATAAATTCCATTTCCTCTGGACTCCATGCTCCATAAGTTAAGTCTGGAAGATATATTTACTAAGCAGACATACAATGCTTTCTCAGCATCTGAGATCCTTGGTTATATGTATTCTCAGTCCAAGCACTAATCTCTCTAGATAAATGAAACTATATTAGATTAGTAGGTTAGTATAATGTACCATCAATACAGTAGCAGATTCCAAAAATCTAATAATGTCATGTGAAATGTAATTATCTAGAAGAAGAGATATGTATAAAAATAGGTAATATCCCTAAAATATTTTGCTGAGTTACAATTCTTCCTGCTGGGAAGGTTACCACACTACCATGATATATGTATGAAATGTCTGTTCAGAAAAAGAAAATTAGAAAATATTCCTCACCTGCCAATTCACCAAATGTAGGAATATATACTCAAAACTGGCTCTCAAAAATGGCACAAACATATAGGGGAAGATGCCTATATGCATGACAAACAAGAAAACATGGAGTCTATTTATTGGTTAGTTTTTAAAAGGGCCCATACTCATAATTTTTATATATATATATATATATATATATATATATATATATGAATGATCAAAAACACTCATGTGGATGGACACATCTGGTTTCCCCTCGCCCTCTAGCTTTTCAAGGATTATTGCCTGACATAATACAGAAATTCTGCTGCTTGTCCTCAGCAAAGCATTGAGAGAGGAACCACCTCTTTCCACTCTCCATAGTGACCCATGTTCTGGGCTTGTGCTTTTTGAAGGAGTCTTTGATCTGCAGCAGGTCTCAGAGGCTTGTCTCCCGGAGGAACATGGTGCCAATGTTGTAGGAAACCTTTTTTATTCTCGATGAAGAAAGAGAAGGCTTTGGCTGCTTTGGACCAGTCCTTACCTCCAGGAAATAGCAGATCCCAGGAATTTCTTTTGGGAAGTTGTCTGGAAGCTCTTCACGGGACCGAGGGATGAATGTAAAACTTTCTTCTCGTTTTAATAATCTAAGAAGAAAATATAGGTAACATGGATCAAACAGAAAGGGAAATGTGAATAAAAAAAATTCTGAAGGCTGAGAAAGCCTATCCATGACTGTGCACACACAAACACCTCTATTGACCTTCCTAGGACTCCAGCTATGAAATCCTGACTCAGGAAAGATCCCTTTATGTTGTAATGATGATGATGATAAGAAGAAGAAGAAGAACTGCTCAAAATATTTTACTCCTTAAAATATTTATTTTATTTCTTACTGAATAGCAGCCCTTGAAGAATATTTGTTCATATTTGATTTTTTCCCTAAACAAAGGGCTAAGAAAATTGCATAATAAGAAAACTGTATAATACAGGTTTTGTTTTAAACAGGCAGGATTTACTTGTCTGGTTTAAAAGCCTGCCTAAATTCTACAGCTTTCCTTTTAGGTTTTGTAGACTCTCAATAAACTTTAAACATATGTCCTTTATGTCAAACATGTAACACAAATATTTAGATTTACAGAACATTTTGTGTCTCCAAGTGTCTGTGATATCTGGTTACTGACATCTAGCAATACATATTTTTCAATTTCACCATCACTTATTAGTCAGATAAGTTGACTTGTCCCTTGCAATCACACATAGAGACTCTTCAAAATAGTAACTTCGCAGGGGATTTATTCTTTAAACTTGCCAAGCTCCATGAAAGGTTCTGTTTGATACTCACATTTAAGAATGTAGCTAAACATTTTCACTGAATTCACTCTTTTTGGACTACTTAATGTTTAAGAAAATCTCCTAGATACTCCTAAGAATGTAGTAAGTAGAACATACTCTTTTGTTAACAGAAAAGGAAACAGGAAATAATGGAAAGAAAAAAATTTCCCTAAACAATAAAAAAAGCAAAGGAATGTAATGTGAAACAAGAATAGATGCTATAAGAAAGCTAGACATAGAGGTAAATACAAAAAGCTGCAAAAGTTCAGAGGAAGAAAAATGTTTGGGGAGAGCATTTCATTAGGACACAGTTTTGAAGTCTACACTGAGTTTAGACTTTATTTGGAAGATACCATGAAGACAAATCCATCAACCTTTACCTAAAAGCAATTCATGCTCATATGTCAGGTTAATATTAACAGCAGCTCAGGTAATGTCAGGTAGGCAATGTGGGAGAAAGAAGGCATGCAAGAACAGAGGATGCACGAAAATTCATTATAGGAGCAGTGATGAGAATCTCTACGCAAGGAGGAAAAATCATTTTTTCTCAATGGTCTGAAAAAAAAAGCATGCTGGCAGTAGTAATAATTGTTATGACATGAGCAGCCTGACTTGAGCATACCTTTATGAACCAGAGTTGTAGTATTTTGCTTTCTCAAGGATAAAGGAACAGTTCTAATTGTCTATTCTTTAAAAACATTATGCAATGATCATATTATTTTGGGACATAATAAAGTGAGGCTCATTTTGACATTTTTAAATTCTTTCAGAGTCTTATCCCTTTTATCCATATGACATAACTTTATGCAAAAGCTAAAAATTTTCTTCTCTGCTAAATCTATGGAGGGTGGAAATGAGTTCAGAGTAAGTTAGAGTGATTTGCTCAAGGAAACAGCAAGACAGTAATGGCAGTGGCATTGGAATATAGATGTGTTAATTCCTAGTCAAGCTTAGCCCTACAATAAATAATAAGACTATGTTAAGATAGTTTTCCATCACAAAATAACTAAATTGAGATACAGGGGATGCATTAATGATAATTAGAAGGGAAATCTTCAGTATTGTTTGCATTTTTTTCATTGGCATAGTTATTAATTTTCACTACATATAATGTATAATTGGTCATTTCAGAAATAAAGTGTAAGCATAACTAAATAATAGTGGAAATCCATATTGAAAAATATGGTAAAAATATTGAAAAATAGTGAAAATCCATTATTGTGGATTTTCAGTAAATCCACATAATTTTGTTTACCTCAAATGGAAGAATTACTGATGTGCCACATTGGGTGTCAACCAATGATATCAATCAATCAACAAACATTTATTCAGTGCCTGACATGCTAAAAAGTGAGGACACACAGAACACATTAACAAACTTAGAAGATGAGAAATGTGCATAGAAACAAATTATGAATACACGACAATATATGATATAACATGTAATGTACTTAAAAACGAAATTCTGTGGGATGGAGGAAGAAGAGATGATTATGGATTGAAGTACAAAGTCAAGAACCAGCACAGTAAAGTTCACTATCACCAGTCATAGCACAGAGCTATAAACTCTGTTTTCAAAGCTTCCTTAAAGCCCCAAATCAGCAATTAGGAACTCCATTTGCACTACGTTTCCTTGTTTCTATCTTTTAAGTCTTCAAATTTATCTCTTTTACAGTTTGTTTGCCTCAGTGTGGGCTTTATGTCTAGCTATAATTTATATTCTCTGACCATGAAGAATCAAATTGGTGTTACATCTATGGACGTACTTATAAATGATGGAAAGAGGACACCAGCTGCTTTGGATGCCAGGACTCTGTAAATAATTTACAGTACTTTGGCTTGGAGGAAAGTCTTCACAACAAATGGGTTCCTTGACATTTAAAATAAATCTCATATACTAACACTAGAAAGCATAGAGACAACAGATTTAATGAGATTTTATTTTTTCCAAGTAAACATTTTGGTATCAATAAACTAAACACAGTCTTAAATTTCAATAATAAAAATGAGAGCACATAAGGATAAACTGATTCAACCTCCTGTGATATCCAGGATTTAGCAGTCTGTGTATAAATGAACACTGATGTGCAATATTCAGGTGTCTTTCAGTACGATCATCTGAATGATTTACTGGAGGCACGAGAAGGGCAGGGGAACATTTCATGCAGTGTGCCTGGTGATGACATGAGACATGCTACTGCATAAATGATCAAGTGCATATACAGGAATTAGGAGTGTAGACCCTAATCACCCCAGAACCTCCCATCCCCTCTGAAATGCATTAAGTCCAACTCTCTGGTTTCTAAGGCTCTGCCTAACAGTCCATTTCCTAAGCACCACTGGACTGATATGGAAGCTTAGAGTCTACATAAATCTAAATTAATCCTGAGCTGTAATCCCAGGATGGTTGATATGCCACCTAGGAGTTTCAGCAACATGTTTTATAAGTATTCAGAAGCCATAAATCCCGGTTTACCTGCCTATCACCCTTGTTCCTATTAACAGGTATATATATATATATATATATATACACACACACACACACACACACACACACACAAATTGATTTTCAAAATAAAACTTCGCTGCTACTTTGGATGTCTGTGATACCATGAAGGTCTATGGAAAGGCTCCCTCCCAGCTTCAGAAATAAAGCTGGCCTCTGAGTCTCCTAGCCACTTGTTGGCATGTGCATTTCTGCCCAATTTTCCCCAGGCTTTGTGCTCAGTCCTATGTCCTCTCTTGGAAAAAGACTTGAAACTTATATCGAGATACAATGATATAATGCAATTTACATTTTATAAGACCTGGAGTTTAAAAAAGAGAGAGAATAGAATGGAATCATAATAGGACATCTCAGAGATCTATTCTTGGGTATACTATCTTCTCCAAATCACACTGCAAGTGGCATATAAAATGCAGAGTTTGGTCATCTATAAGGCAGAGGCAAGAATGCAGTCTTTTATTCTACTAAACTTTTGTCTCTAATTCTATACTTTGATTCAATTTCTATTTAGGAAGTCCTTATAATCACTTTCTGCTAAGTGCTTTACTTATGCCTGAAAGACTGTAGAATTTTGGCAAATAATCAGTCATGCAACTCTTGAGCACTTAGAGTCATCCAGTTCAGTAGTCAGTCAATCACCAGGTAGTTATTAAGTGCCTTCTATGAGTGAGGTATTGAACCAATACTTTCTACCATTGGTCATAACATTGACGGAACAGGAGGTGACTCACTGGAGAGATGAAGGAATTTTTGGTTTTGTTTAAACTGTCTTATCATAAAGTAGTTATTTTTTATTAGCTGAGCTGACCCTATCCACAACTCCATGGATAGCCCCATGGATAGATCCAGCTCCAGTCTCTGATAGTGACCAACTAAGGGAGTTTGGGCAACATGCTTAACAAATATTCAAAGCCAGACAAATCCTAGTTTACCTGCCTGTCACCCTTTCTTCCCTCAATAGTTTTTTTCTACAAATTGATTTTCAAAGTAACAACATCTGCCCATTTGAAATTATCATGTGCGACTGCACAATCTTTCGTTTATTGCAACAATTGGAAAGATCTGTGTAATGTGTAGAGCTTTGAGAGTGACATTCCAAGGATGTTTATAAAGGAGTAATCACAACCTTGTCTACTAGTTTCTGTTGCTCACCAAAGGATGCTTGAAAGTCAAAGCAAGAGGCAGTAAAACATAGTGCATCTTTCAGAGTTAAGAGCTGAAAAGGAATATGTGGATTAGTGATATTTTAAAGACTTTGTCTGAAATCTTTAGTTCACTTTCCTCTGCACTTGACTAATTTGTGCCTAATTTCTTGTTTAGAAATTATTTCCTGCTCAGTATTTGGCTGTTAAAGAACTAGCTGTCTCTCTGTTTACTAATTCAGTAGATGGAAACTTTCTCCTAGATTCTATCATCATCACCACCACAATTAATGTCTTTGTCATCATTATTATAATCATCATCATCATCATTTTTCTCTCTGGTTATTGTGAAAATTAATGATATGTGCCTCAGTGCAACTTAATTTAGTCGTTAAAAGACTCTTAGTAAAACATTTTAACTTTTTGAGATAACAAATTATGTCATTTACTTTTGGGGATTTTTGTGTTATTTCTTTGATCATTTCTTATACTTTGTGTTTTCTTTTTTTTGGATTTCTGTTTTGCCAGATATTGGACTTTGTAAGTCAACCCTCCAATTTCTTTTCTTTTCTCTCTGATTTCTCCCTTGTTTTTCTATTATACTTCTGGAACACTGCCTCCATCATCATTTTCTAATACTTATACAGAATTGTGAAATTTTAGA